TTCAATTCTTTAATTCTCTCGTGTTAAATTTACTTTTTCGATTATCCGACCAACTATTCATCCAATCGAATGCTTCAATCGTTGCTCACTTAAATTAAGTTCGGACTCTAATCGATCTTTCATTCTATAACGTTATTATAAAATATCTGATCCGTGTTTGCGAAGCAATGATTAATTAATCGAGTAGAGTTATTCCTCACTCCAGAAACAAAAATTCGTGGAAATAGAAAAATACACGCGTCACGAGAACGAGTGACAGGAGACGAGAATGCAACGTAACGTTGGCGGAAAATACATCGATACGGATATCGACATTCCTTGATAACAAACGTGTCCGTCAAATCCGTGCAGGATTCGCTTCGTGTTGCTTTCTGGTGGTTCCTTTCGAATTACCTCGATTTTGTATTCGCAAACGGAATATAACCGTGTATCCGAGTGTGGAGTGGATGAGCTGTTGCGTGGCGAAACATACGTCCCCGAAAAAAGTGTGCATATTCATGGTAAAGGCGGGAGGGGAGAGGGGCGGTGGTGGTTGGTCGGATTGCGTTACAGGGGAATTGCGCATCCAGTCCGGTCAGAAAAGAGGGGGAAAAATTTGACCAGCTGCCGGCGCTCGTGTTTCTGCTCTGGAATTGAGAAGCTTGCAAATATAAAGAGAAAGAGAGAGAGAGGAGGGGAGATTAGCTTCATTTTCGTCAGTTTTAAAGAAATTAAAAAAAAAAAATCTTCTTAAGAAATTTATTGCTTTGAATATTAATTAAATATATATTTTTCCTTTTTTAATGTAATAAATGGTTCAATTTTTGAAAGATTTGGAATTAGTTTTATGAAGATATGAAGAAATATATAAAATAATAACGAGACCGAAGGATATACTGTTCACTGGTGGAAAGAATCTGATTGGTTAAATTGAATCTATTACATATACTAATTTAAAACGATGATCTCTAAGTCTTGATGTTCTAATCGACTTAACTAAATGATTTAGAAGTTCTACTGAAAATGAAAAACTGATAATATAAAAAGAAATAAGGAACGAAGAAAGATAATAATTTTAATTAATTTAACTGTGATTTAAAAATTCTATATGATTAAGATCTAGATAAACTCTGACTACCTAAATATGACTTAAAAATCATAAGAGTTTTAATTACAATCTTAAAATGATCCAGAATGAGCTAAAAATCATTGCATTAGAATAGGCATAGAATCCAGAGAATTCTAACGTATCTAATATGATATAAAAATTTTTTTATTTCTCATCAATATATATAGGTTAATTTATAAATAATATTTTGTATTCGAATAATTAAGTTAATAATTGTATATATAAAATATTTGCTAACATAACTTCGTAAATGAAAATAATTTTTAACGATTTTGAACGTAATTAAATTATAGCTCTTCTGTTGCTATGTAAGTATGCTATGTAAGTAGCGTGTTGTGTCAGGATCGTCAACAAAGCGAAGTGTGAGTGGGGATAGACGATCCTAGCGAAGGACCCCTCTTGCCCCTGTGCCGTCCCGCGAGACTTCTTTCCAGCAGTTAACTTAATCCATAGATTAAAAAAGGAAAGATACATCTCGATTCCGTTCGTAATTATTTAGCCTGACAATTCACATTTAATATATATTATATTATATTAAACAGACTTATTTTCTTCCATCTCGTTGTGCAAATGCAAATTAACGATTGTTCTAATTTCTCTCCGACCATTGTTCCCCGTGATTGTGCATCGTGAGCTATATTAGTATTCATTGGAAAAGTGATCGTTGATGTCAAGTTTGCCATCCGCTTTGGCCGAATGATGATATACCAAACCGGAGAATCCAAATCGAGGCCAATTCGAGTCGGAACGTGAAAGTGTTCGGCCCGTTGGGACGATTTACGGTAAAATTCCATCCAATTCTCCCTCTCTCTAGCTCTATCCTTCCATCTTTCTCCGTGTTTACACGGAAGGACTCGCGCCTCCGGTTTCGGGCGAAACAAGCAAATACGCTCGATCTCGATTTCTATCGGCTATCGAGGCTCTATCGTTCGGCAGTGAGGAATTGTTTGCGCAAGGGAGAGCCTGTAAAATCCTATTATCCAAACCAACCTGTTATTCAAATCATCTCCGCTCGGATCCTAATAAATCAAATTCCCACGAATAATGAAAGTAACTGGGACGTACAGCGTATAGTTGAAAGTTAAATTTATCATGGTGAATGCAATGGAATTTCTTGAAACAAATTGTGTTTATTATAGCATGTATATATAGAATATAAAAATTCTGTTCGAATTGCTGTGAAAAATCAAAGGATTTTGTGGCTTATTCAAGCTTTAGATCTTTTTAATAGATCTTTAATAGAGCTTACAAAAGTTAACAAACAAATTAAGTTATTTTCTTCTATATTTTTTCATATTTATCTCAAAGAATGGTTAGTTTGTTTCTTTAACTTTTGTCACCAAGTGTTTACGTGTATATATTTATGTGTAAATATCTCGAAAAATATAAACGCCACTGAGCGTGACTTTCAAGGTCATTGTCAAGTAAATATTGCCATCCCATTTCGCTTCTTTATTCATACTTTTCAAGATGCCTTTCCAAATAAATCCACTATATACACTTAACTAATAATTTCTTTTCAACGCATTGTTTAAATTTACTTATTGATATAATTCCAATTTGTTTTTCATTATTGCATCCAATATTTAAACATTCACATGTTACTACTTACTTCTCGAATCTCTAGCGAAGTGAAAGTGCAACAGATTCGATCTAAGAGGATAACCGTCATCTTCGCGAATTCGCACACGTTACAGCGTGCACAACGAGCGAATAAACACGTGTCACGTTCAACTACGTTCTTTCTTGACAATGGAGCCAGCTATTTGGCAAAAGCAAACTCTGGATGTTGCTAGTGGCAATTTTGCCGCGAATACGCCACCACCAGTCTCATTTGCATGGAGATGTAGCCAACGTTTGCGAAGCAACGTCTGTGCATTGGATCAAGGAGACTGCTCTCCCTTCCTCGTTTGCCGTTGGGTCCGAGCGCGATACAACAAGGACAATGACGTATCGTGTTACGAGGTGGCTATCTTAACACAAACATCTTCAACTTACCAATAAACGACGGAATGCAAATTCAATGAAACATCTATCTAATAAACTATTTAAGCTATCTAATAAACTAACTTCAACAGCCAAAATAGAATCATTATTAATTTTCAATAGGAAATCAAATAAATCAATTGATTGAAATAAAATTTTGCAGAAATTTAAAATTTGATTGAAAAGTCGGAAATGAAAGTGTAATAAAGAAAAAATAAGTGACGAATATTAGATTTGAAAAATATAAATAAAGTAAACGTAAAATATAGGAATTTCAGAAGAAATAATTTCTTGATATTTGGATCATCATCGAGCCATAAGTAATTACTAATCAATTTTCTTTTCTGTCACTGCCTTCTTCTCAAATTCATCGACTTGATAACGCGACTTCTCGTGTCCCCGTTCTTCGATCTCTTCGACTTTCGAAGCACGGATATCACGTTAAAACGTTAAATCGATGCAAGTTACATCGTGATGCAGAGTTCGCTTATCGAGAATTTTATTAATTCCATTTATATTATTATTATTATTATTATTATTGTTGTTGTTGTTGTTATTGTTGTTGTTGTTGTTGTTATTGTTGTTATTATTATTGTTATTATTGTTATTGTTGTTATTGTTGTTATTGTTGTTATTATTATTNATTGCTGTTATTGCTGTTATTGCTGTTATTGCTGTTATTGCTGTTATTGCTGTTATTGTTGTTATTGTTGTTATTGTTGTTATTGTTGTTATTATTATTGTTATTGTTGTTATTGTTGTTATTATTATTGTTATTGTTGTTATTGTTATTATTGTTGTTATTGTTGTTATTATTGTTATTATTATTGTTGTTGTTGTTATTATTATTATTATTATTATTATTATTATTATTATTAATTTTTTTTTATCTTTGGAAGATCGAAGAAAGTTCCAGTGTACGAACGAAAAGACGCAACTATATCGACGATCCCTCGATATTTAGCTCCTCTATAGATTAAACATGAAAGGAAGTTGGAAATTATCGGGAAACAATTTTTCCACCGATGACAAAGTTTCGTCGTTAAAATGAAGTTTCGAGGGGCGAGGATGGGAGAGGGGTGCAGGCGGTCAATTAATTTTATCGATAAATAAATTCCCCGTTTCTCTGCCAGTCAACAGCTCGTAAATACCCATTAAGACGGGCAAATTGACGGGCAAATTGGTCGAAATAGAACTTTACCCTCCCTCCTCTGCGATCCCAGTTCCAGAGTTCCTTTAATTTCTCCACTACTTCTCCTACTACTACTCGCTTCCGTGAATTTATTGTTTTCGTTCGCTCGCGAATTTCACCACTTTCACTTTGTTGCTTGCGAACTTTCGAGCCGATACTATCCGTCGAACTTGTTCTCTTAATAGCACGATAGCGAAATTTTCGTTGGAATTTTCGATCCCTCGAAAAGGGATCAAGGCGAATCGACGCATATTTATACGCGCGTAACAATTTTAGGAAAATTAGTAAAAAAAAAAAAAAAAAAAAAATTCGATCAATAATTTCGAAATTTCTCAAAGTTTGAATCGACGAGCGAAATAAATGTCGGAAATTTATTGACTATGATCACGATCGAATTTTCGATAATTTTCTAATAACGATAATACGTGTGACGATAAAAAGGAATAGCAGAATATTGATGAAAATGAGAAACTTTTATATTCTTATTATTGACGATATCAAAATTTCTCCACGATCAGAAAACATCATTTTTCAAAAAGGAATTTTCTAGAAATGGATCGAGCCTTCTCCCCTCCGATTCGAGATTCGCGATTTCTTGGCGATGATCAAAAATGTAGGTGCGAAGGGAGGGCCTTCGGGTCGGCGGGACAAGCGGCGCGACGGTTAAAGTAAATACAACGGTCGCTTTCCTTTTCGATCGGTCAGTCAACAAGCATGGCTCTACGCGACTGGTACGCGGATCGCGAGCTGCTCCTAACAGGAGCGACCAGCGACGTGGGACGAGCGTTGCTCGAGAAGATTCTTCGCTCGTTCCCCCACGTGAAGATTTACGCGATCGTTCGTTCCCGCCACGGCTTCACCAAAGACGACAGGATCAAGAATATCTTTCTTTCGCCACGGTAAGGTAATCGAGAATGTTTCTTTTTCATAAAGAGATCTTTTTTTTTTTTTAAATAAAAGATGTTAGAATTGACGATATTAGAATCGAGGGTATTTTTTTCTTTCCTTTTTCGTTGTAAAAGATATTATAACAGATGGAAAGACAACAGAATCAATATCATTCTTTCGCCGTAATAAGATAATCGAGAGTGTTTTTTTTTTATAAAGAAACTTTTTTTTTAAAAAAAATAAAAGATATTATTGACGATGTTAGAATCGAGGATATCCTTTTCTTTTTTTTCGTTGTAAAAGATATTAGAATTGATGATATTAGAATCAAGGATATCTTTTTCTTTTCTTTTTGTTGTAAAAAATATTATAATAAATGGAAAGACAACAAAATCAAGAATATCATTTTTTCACAATAAGGTAATCGAGAGTGTCAGAATAAAAAATATTAGAATCGATGAGAAAAAATTCAAGAATATTTTTCTTTTGCTATAGTAAAATAGTAGAAGGTATTTTTTTTCCCCCTTATAAAAGATATTAGAATTATGACAGATGAGTTGAAAATTGAGACAGAATCAAGAATATCATTCTATCGCCACTGTAAGGTAATCGAGAGTGTCAGAGTTAAAAGATATTAGAATCGATGAGAAAAGAATATCACGAATTTTTCTTTCATCGTAGAAGGTTATTAGTCTTAAGACGAAAGAAAGAATTCAAGAATATCTTTTTTTTTTCATCGCGGTAAGTTAATAGAATCGAGAATATCTTTTTTTTTTTATTAAAAGATATTAGAATTGATGAGAGAATACCCTTTTTTTTCTTCACCGTAGTAGATATTAAAATTGAAGGAAAGAATCTTTTTTTCATCACTGTGAGATAGTACGATCGAGAACACCTTTTCCTCGTTATTCGAAAGATATTGGAAATCGAGATTATTTTTCATCGTATTTCAAGATATTGTTTGCCCTCTTTCGTAAACGCGATGTTGTTAAACGCAAGATTTCTATGTATCAATATTTTTGATTTAATAATTATTCAATGATTAATTGGTTTATTTTGATTTTTATTCGCTTATCGTTGTTACGTTATCATTAGCTGTATATTCGTTAGATGGTCTGATTTTAATTCGTTAGGTATTATAGTCTTCCATTCTAATTAACGTTTCATTAGACAGAATGACGGATTAGTCTCTCGTTGCGCATTGTTGGCTAAACGCATGCTCATTGTCAATTTGTTCGATTAAACATTCGAGTTAATATTATCGAGGATGAATGAAATTCGCGACGTAATAGAGATAAAAAGTAAAAAAATCTTTCTGATGAGATTTATTTCGAATCACGAAGCAAATATTAATAAATTTGAACAAAAAAAAAATTTATTCAATAATAATTAATTCAGAATATGAATGAAAAGAGTGAAAAGTTTGCCTGTTTAAATTTGACCATACATCTTTGTGAATTTAAATCCTCAAATAGTTTTACAATTTTACCGTATATAAATATATTATCGTATCTTTCTATTATTTACTCTTAAAAAAATTCTTTAAATTGCAAAAATATTAAATAAATATGAAGTAAATGTATAATTATGAAAGTAAGATAATATACATGTTGTATATGCACGCATAAAGCACACACGAAAAAATTCGACTGCACTCGCAACCGGAGAAATTTACTTTCATTAACACGTTTTCTTTGCTTTATATTAACTGAGCAAAACCGGTTGTTATTGCACGTCTTATGTTGAAAATTCGCTTTAAGCGCTCATCGCTTCGAGTAATGAATTATAATCAAATGATTCAATGTGAATTCACGTGCTAAAGTAATAAAAATTATACGTAATTATATGCAGATATATATTTAACTGTTTTTGATTTACAAAGGAATAAGAGTATATCGAGAATAAATCGTTGATATTATATAATAGATCAATTATCGTGTAATAAGATAATAAACCTAGTCTATGTAATAGACTAAAAGCAGTTGTGGAAGATTGTCAGTGATACCAGTAATTGCGGAAACTCCACTTGGTCACGGTATATACATCGAATAAATAGTGTATTTTGAACAGAAAATTTCTAATAAGTGAAAATAAGTGAAAACTTATATAACATATACAATTTTGAAATATAATTTCTAAATTGAATAAATATTTATGCAAAATTTAAATTATTAACGAAACAAATAGTTCGCATTATATAAATTATATAAATTTATTATCTAATATTTAAAGAATAATGCAAATCTCTATCCAACTTTCATTTCATAAAAATTCAAATTTTGCATAAACAAAAACACATACATACACACACGAAAAAAAAATTTATTTCCACTTATCAAAATATTTACACCCATCTTGCTCTCACCATTATTATAAAAATCTGCACATCTTCAAAGAGAGATAAATCTTGGCCAGGATCCAATCAAACGACTCTATTTCTCGTCCGTTTATTCGTTACAGATTCGAGAGATTGAGACAAGAGGATCCGAACGCTCTTTCGCGAGTGAAAGCGTTGGAGGGTAATTTATTGTACAACGATTTCGGTGTCAGCAAGAGGGACAAGGAGCTGTTGGGAAACGTGAGCGTGGTGTTCCACGCCGGAGGCCCATGCGACGAGATATTTCGATTCTCCAAACAATCGTCGCGAGTCCAAGCTGTGGTAGTAGTGACGAGCATCTTCGAGCGGGCGAGCGACGGCCGAGTGGTCGAGGCGGGGAAGGAAGGGGGCAAAGACGACGGACTCGTAGCATTGGTGCAGGTTCCGTTGGTCGGGCCTGCACTCCGCGAACCCATGCCCGGATTCGTGGACGCACTGAAAGGATCGACAGCTTTGATAGCGGGAGCGGGCCACGTCCTCGGCAATTCAAAACTTCAAGCGGAAATTATTCCGATCGATCTGGCGGTCAACACCTTGATCACTGTTGCTTGGGAACGAGCCACCTCGTGAGTACCCTTTCCTTACTCTATCTTGTCGCTTTTAGTCGCTCTGATTTGATAAAACGGTGTCGGATATTTTTGGACGTATGTATGCGTGGATAGGAATTGATTAGATTTATGATTTACGGAAGAAAAATTATCTTTGTGCTGTGGCCGATTGAGCGTCTTATTCTGTTGATAAGGATTGTGATTAGGATTGCCAGGAAAAGTCTGAATGATAGTGGGATTTAGAAATGAAAATAGTCTAGAAAAGGATGCAAAATATTTAGAAGAAATGAGAAAGTTTTTTTTATTTTTATTTGCTAGATAATATTATGAAATTAATTTATATCGAATATGAATGCAAACAAATTATCCGATATTCTAATTTCTCGCCGTGTAGCATCGATTGAAGAAGCTTTACGGACATTGAACTTGCGGTTAATTACACGTGAATGAATATCGAATAACGAAGACGATATATTTGGCTCGATTTTGTCCTCTCTGTCCTGATCAACCGTCCTCGAAAGCATCCGTTTTCTTGATTTACTTTAAACTACAAGATAATTCAATAATTTCTCTTTTTATTGTCAAAGAAATTGAAAGTTAACAACAAGAAAAATTGGAACAGAATCAAAAAAAAGTAACAAAAAAAGGAAAATAGAATGATGTATAAAAACGATATGTAAAAGGGAAATTTAAATTTGCACAGCTTTGGGAAAAACAAAACACAGTAAACGGTATCCAATAAGCCAATGTAATAACACGAGAAACAATCGAACCGCAGTGCGCGTAAACCGCGATTCTGTGTGGATCCATAGCCTGTTGCCTTTTTCGGTGGTGGAGCTATAAAATGTAAGCGATTAAAGTTTACGCGAAATGAACGGCGGTTTCGTTTCAAAAGAACATTCAAATCTCTTTTGAGCGGGGTAAAAAGCAAGCAGAGCTGGTTTACGCGGCCAATGTTCGGTGTATCGAGTAATACCAGAGGAAACTCGTATTATGACGATTTACCGGTTTAAATATCTATATTCGCGTAAATCTAATATTTAAATGGCCAGGAATTATATATGCGTCGAAATGAGTAGATATTCGCGGATTATCTAGTTGCCACGACACAATTTTGCGACTAATGAAGTATGAAGCGTGTTTATGAGCTTACCAGTGATATTCGACGCAAATATAGAAAAATATCATCCTACTATCGATATATTAATCAGTAATTTGGATGACTTCCAGCGATGATCATTCGAAATTGAGTATATTTTAAATATCGAAGAATGTAGTTGTTAGTCAATACTTTATAGAGATGTGTAAATTGTAATTCGCAAATTTCGGATTGAGTCGAAATTGCCATGTGAAAATTGAAATGCCTGAAAATTTCAAATCTCTTGTTTTAATTTGTGAACAAATAATTCCAATATATTATTCAATGTCTTCAAAATTCTGGAGAATCCTGACATTTTCAAGAATACCGAAATTCTCGAGATGTTCTCGAACTATGAGATACTTTAGGGATCCGATTTTAGCCGAGTTTATCCGACCGAAGTCGAATTCACTCGACTTGAGCCGATTCGACCCGATCTCTTCTCGAGCATCGGATTCTCGCAAACTTCTAGCGTTTTAACATTCATCTTTCTTTATTTTTCTTCACTTGTGTATATAAAACGCGAATAAATCAACATATAATTTAAATAAGTCAGAATTCAGCTGTAAAAAACATTCGTTCTATTTAACCAGAAAATCTTTTAATAATTTTCTCGTGTTTGATCGTTATACGGAACATGATTCGTGCTTTTATAATTATTCCAAAGATTGATATTATATTGATCAGATATTTCATCTTCTGAAGAACTGTTGAGATATAAGGTAAGTTCGAACATAAGTTCGATATACAAAATATTATTTAGCTTAGAATGGGTCGGGACGAGGATTTGATTTAAGTGAAAGATGAGAAAGAGCAAATGACGGGCAAGGTATTTTTGAAAGATGGCAATCAAGCCAGATTTTAATAAAAATGGTTATGTTGGTCAAAGTTGTAAAGTTTTGAGGGTCTATATTTATATGGTGTATATATATATTATAATCAGTATGTCGGGTTTACGAGGGTACAGGAGAAGTTATTTCCTTTAATCTTATCTTGGAAAATGCTTTGAACCTCACAGACTGGAATGACGTCAAACGGATTCAGATTGAACGTTGGTATCGAAGTGGATCGTTGACGGAATTGAGGTTAAATTATATTTCGCGATATAATGCATCCTTAAACTTTGCCACTGTTTATTACATCTATTTACCTATCTATTTCTTTTTAATACATTTTATCTAATAAATATATATATTAGAAGCAAAAGCATTCGTCTCATCAATTTTTTCTTAAAACTTTATATGTGTATAGAGTATAATGAGTTTTATATGAAGCAATATTTTTGCATTTTTTTCAATTTTAGATAAGATTTCATCCGGGAATATTTTTCATTAAAAATTAATGATTTAAAATTTTATTTTATCGTACCATTATAAAGTTATATTTAAAAAATGGAAAAACTGAAATTCTGAGCTTCTCATTTTCTTCCTTTAAAGTAATATTTCGTTAGAAAAAATTATTTTATACTTATATTTTTGTTAAAAAGAAATTTTAAATAAAAAAAAAATTAATTTTTTGTAACAGAATACTTGTATGAATGATAAAAGTAGAATTGATTAAATAATTTAAAATAGAATTAATAATATTTCTTTTGATTGTCATAGAAAAAATGTACAAGGTCCAGTGATATACAACGCGATCCCGATAGGATGCACATGGAGTGACCTGATTAAGAAATCTCGGCGAGCCAACCGAAAGTTTACATATCCGACTTTCGGCTTCCGTGGTATGACATCTATAGTAACGCTACATTGGGCTTTGGTGGTGCTTTTTGAATGGTTGCCATCCACACTCTGCGACACGATTCTCGGACTAGTCGGAGCAAAGAAAAGGTATAACGAGCTGGAAATATACGATATCTACAATTTCTCGAGATTATCGTTCCGAAAAGCCACGTTTATCAAACATATTCGTACGTTAAATTGACAGACGTGGTTTTGAAAGATCTTCTATAATAATAGCCAAAAAAAAAAAATCGATAAATAATCGTATAATATCCGATTTAAAGAGCGAAAAATTTTTAATATTTTCTTATATATTTATTTACAATTAAAAATTTATGCATTTATATGAAATATTACCTATATATGTATCATATATCATATAGATAAATATTATCTATATGAACATTATCTTGAAAGCTCAACTGAGAAATCATATATATATATATTATAACTATGAATCGTATATTTAATCGTATAAACTTTACGATTTACACGTCACGATAAGTATCTCGTGTATACAAATTTTAATATTCGTATGAATATACACGATCTGCTCGTAACGATATTTCCTTATTTACACGAATCAAATCGAACAGAGCCAATATATATACGTAATATATACACGTAAAAAGTACGTGTAGAGGATCATGCAAACTCGGTCAGGTTGTGCACAGTTTCCTCTGTGCATTCGGAAGAATGGGAAGAAAAGTTGGAATCACGCCGGTGGCCCGGGTAAAGAAACGCATTTCAATGAAAGCTGTCAAGATTTTCGGAAAGTTTCCTCGTTGCCTGGGCAAACTCGCGATTTTTAAAAGCAATCAGAGTACGAGTTCGCAAGTTTCCCCCGCGAGGGGAAACGAGTTTCCTTTCCACTGTTTTCCTTTTCGCCTTCTTTCCTCAACTGCCTTTTTCACTTCCTTCCTCCTTCCCCCTCCCTTCCTCCTTTCTCCTCCCTTCCTCCTTCCCCCTCTCTTCCTCCCTGTCTCTCCCTCTCTCTGTTTCTGTTTCCGTCTCCGTCGCTCTGTCCCCACCATTCGAATACCGCCGTCGTGAACGAACCTGTTTACTTTGGTATTCACCTAAATTGTAGTTCCGGATAACTTTTACTTTTACGATTGCGCCGCGTTTGCCAAGCACGCCCGTGGATCCGTTTCGCCGGGATCGGTTCTTGCAACCTTCCCCTCCCTCTCCTTCCCCCTCTCCCCACGCCGCGCATCCACACTGTGATCAAACTTTACCGAAAATCCTCTATCGATGTCTCCTTCTGGGAACGTGGATTTCCACTCGTCGAGTAACTTAACTTCAACCGTTTGTGAATTCTTTACAGATCGGCATACAGATCTCGAGTAAGCCAAAAAAGAAGTACGATGTTCTGTTTATTATTATAATATTTTTTTTTTGGTATTGTGAATTCATTAGTTATTATTAATAATTAGCTCTTTAACCAACAGTGATATTTTTCAATGAGAACGTTGATTAATTGATGATTTGGTTTTTTTAGTTTATCAGAAGAGTAGAAAAAATTGAAAGAAGTTTTGATGATGAATGAAAGGCGTATTCTGAAAGGCATCGTTACATGAAACAAAATAGAAGTTTTGGTAATAAATAAAAGGTATTTTGGAAGGCGTTCTTTAATGTTTTTATCATAAACATGCTGCTTTAATAAATTTTTTTTTAATAATATTTTAGAGGGTATCAACATTTTTTATAAAACGGACGTAGTTTGATAAAATGGAGGGAAATAATTCGGATTTTTGCGAAACCAGTGGCTTGAGAGTTAATACATTCATAATTAAATTCATTCTTGCGTAAACAATGGCAATATTAATAACCGAGTCGCACGGTTTCATACTTGACAATAATAAAGGCTTTAATATTATCGTTATAAGATCGTAGTATGCCATAAACATTATAAAATAAAGTGAATTAGTGTAGCGTAATGAGAACGAGATTCAGCGAGACACAATAATGCTGCTATTTACAGTACACTAGCATGTTAGTTTGAAACTGTTAATTTCAATTGACCTCATGTTTCTTTGAAGCTTGTTTCAGTTTGCATATATGTTTAAATCAACGGGTAAATCTTAATTATTTAATGAACGAGTAAATAATGCCTCATCTTGCCTCGCCTCGCCCCTTTTCAATGTCTTCTTTCTTTAGACTAAAAGGATAGAAAGATGTCGGTGATTTAGTTGCACTTGCATCCCTTTGACCTTAATTACAGTAATCACGCTGCTTGCGACATTATAAAATTGCAAAAAAATTGCGCTTTGAGTTAAGGTAAATGGAAAGAAAAATATTTCTTTAATTATACTTCTCCTTTTAGAAGTTTTCATCTATTTAAACATTTATCACCTTGTTCTGTATTTCATCTATTGGAGAAATTTCATTCATCATTTCATTCGTCATTTTGGTTGCAATATATTATAAATTTTAACTCTTGTGTTAATAGTCGATATCTAGGTATTTAAAAGTTTAGAATTGTATTAGCAAAATATTAATGAAGTCAAAAATTGATAGAGATCGAAAATTTTGGATATTAATATAAGACTTAATGCAAAATACATAGAACGTTATTGTTCATTCTTTTGCGGCCATGGATGTCCATAAGCAATACTGAGGTAAAACTAACGAGATGAGGACTTAAAATTTGAAATCTATAATTACATATTGCGTTACCTGTTGCCCGTGCTTGCAGTTAATGAAAAGTTACGTGAAATTAGTGGAGTGGGCACTTTTAACTTTAGATTTTAGTTTACTACCGATCAATGATGATGATAAAACTACGAGTGAAACTATTAAAATAAAACTTTGGAACTTTGGAGCTTAATGAGCTTATTACATTGCATATTGCTTATGGTTATGCTGAGAGCAAAACTAACGCTAATAAAGTGAACCCTATATTAGATCTATTACATTTTCTGTTGCCAGCAAATGGCCATGAGCAATACTGAAAACAAAGTTAAAGCCTATGAAACTTGCAAAGTAGGTTCCATTAAGGTTCTATTACACATAGTTGCCCATGAAATAATATTGAAAATAAAAATTATATCTACAAAATTAGCGAAGAAAGAAGTTTGGATTTTTAGTTTATTATATTATATATATATTATATTATACATTATCATCTACTAAACGGTTGCCTGGTGATAATATTGAAAGCAAAATTAAAAATTGCGAAATTAGCAAAATGACAAATTGAAACTTGATACTTTAAGCTAATACTTTTCATTTACCCCTGCAAGTGATAAAGCCAAAATTAACGTCAGCAAAACTAGTGAAGTGAGGATTTGAGAGACCTCTAGACCCGACCGAATCTTCTATATATAGCCTACTAGCCGAGACTTGTCGATGTTAGCCGAGACTTGCCGAACGTTGCCCGCGATTGTCTACCATTCGATCCGTAGTCAACTGTCGAACAGCTTCGAATGTAAAGTTTCGAGCAAATATTTTGTCGCGAATTCGATTTCGTGGCTCATCGGAAAATCGTAAATTCGTTTCCAAGTTAATGTCTCGAAGCTGCATTACTCGTAAGAACTTACTTGTCTTTATTACTCGAGAGAAGTGAAACGGCATCCAGTGAACGAACTTTCGCAATTACGGATGACGAAAAGCGAAATCGAGTGCATCCCATCGATCTACACGGATGAACAATTTAGGGACGTGTTGCACATGGTTGCCGTGAACGCGACGTCTGCAACCGTTTATCAGCCTGGAGGAAATTATAGCGCGCTGCTGCGTCTAATTGCGCTAATCGATTAAACAATGGAACAATATACTTTTGACTAATTATAACATGCGCATAATACACAGCGCACGTGGAAGCGGAGATAAATAGACGAGACATGAATTTTCCCGTGTAGGCATAGTAACAAAGATTAAGGAGCAAAGATATCCTTTCCCGGAAATTATTTTCCGAGCCTCAGAGAATAACAATATGTTATACATTGATTATTAAATTAATATTAATTATTTACATTTTATAATATGACTCTTGAGGAAAACAATTATAATGCAAAAAGTTAATTGAAAATCTATTAAAATATAAATGATAAATGGGAGAAAATTTTCAGAAAACAGATTGGAATTTAGTTTAAATTAGAAATAAGAGTGATGGATTTGAAGAAAGGAAGAAGAAGTAAAATCTTACTAAAAATAAGCTTCTTTGCAGATTTCTCGTGGAGTATCAAAGAGTCCGTGATGCACTTCGATCCCTTGAGGTAATTTCATCAAGAGTGTGGTCAGTAGAGAGGAATCGCGTGTATCTGGTTCAACAACGTCTCGCTACGGAGGACCAAGATATATTTCCGGTTTCCACGGAAATCGACGTCGAGAGTTACGCTCTCTGCGCTGCGGCAGCTGCCAAAAAGTATTGCGTGGACGAGGGTAATATCAGCCTCATAAAAATCTTCCGACTGTTTTTCCTCTTTCTTATCGTTGCGCTCCTCTTTTGCACGTTCTTCTTCAACGGATATCACGTACTCGCAAAGCACACCGAATTCTGAAATTTTTAACTTTGAAGATGTCATTTGTCTACAACTTAAATGTAAGTTTAAAATACTAGAAGTCTGTGCTGCAATTTTAGAATGGTAGAGTAAATGAAAAGGACGTAAATTAGAAAATACAGGAGTTAGAAATGATTCTTTCTGAAAGAGAAAAACAATTGTATAATATCGCTAAGGTAAGAAGATATTGTTATCTAAGATAGATAGTATATTTATATAAAATCTTTTTTTAAGAATGATTGCAATGTATATAATTATAAAAAAGAAAACAATGTAATTATAATATAATTTAAGTATAATAATTTAGAAAATTCTCTTCTTTATTTTCATTTTTGTTTTTATAAATTTTCAGATAAAACCAGAATTATCACAAAAAAAATTTTCGCGTCAAGAATCGTTAAAAATAATTTTTTCTTGAAAATGTTCCATGATTCCTGGTAAGAGAAAAACATCATTTACAAACGGAAGTTCAATCTTTTATTCTCTTTCATAGAATTTGGTTTGGTATAATACTATGATCTAACGAGTTAATTTGAATACCGAACACGGTCAAATTATATTGTTTGAATAAGAAAAAAAATTTACACAAAGAGAAAGCAAGTACATTCTCATCTTTCTTTTTTTAAAAATTTAATCATGCCATTTCAACATCACTTGAAATAATTCATTCATTTTGATATTTTTAAGACTATTCAGTTTTTATTAATCTTGAGAATAGCCTTTTTAATTTCACGTTTTATTTTGATTAATCGTGAAAGTAGCTTCGCGCTCGTTTTAGAAAGCTGTCATACTTTCGAGTTGGAGGGATGTGATATTTTGAGTGAAATGTAAAGTTAAAAAGCATTTCGAATGGACAGGATTGTTTCTAGTTTTTAAATGGACAGAAATTGGAGGACTCATGTTTCTCAATATCACTATTATTAATCAGGTTAGTTTAATTTTCTCCTGGCATTTCCTTTTGTTTCCATTTCAATTCTCGAAGTTTGATCGTCTTTGGACAGAGTGTATTCTACTTGAATTTCTTGCTTTCGTTCTTCGTGTATAAGTCCTAAAGATTGGAATCTTGTATGGTTAACTTTTAAATAATGATTTTTGATAAATTAACTTGTTTAAATTTTATATATATAATTTCAAATGGAAGAAAAATAATTAGATTGTTACGAATTTGTAAAGATTATTGATATTTGTAATTTATTATTTAAGATAGATTTGATTAATATTTAAATTTGGTTATTCCTTTATTTTTTATAATTGTATTTGTCAATTTTAAATTTTTATACCAATTTATTAATATCACTTTTTTTTACACGTTACATTGAATTTCAAAAAAAATATTTCTTTTTTATAATAACACAATCGAAAAAATAATATTAAAATACTTTAGTGTATTTACCCAGTTTAAAATCAACGAACGACAAACATTATACAATTGTATATTTATTTACGTATTTCTAAATGGTTTTACAGATTCGTAAAATCGATTATTTCATGTACAAAAGTCAAATGTTTTTATCGAAAAATGTACCATAAACGCAACATAAACATCGAGAGTAGCACGGTAAACAAAAAAAAAAAAAAATTCTACCTTATACATTACATTCATAAACGATACATCTATCCCCAAGAAAAATAATTTTTAATTTTATCAAAGAGACATTTGAAATTTAAAGCAAAAAGGAAGAATGAAAAGTGAAATGAAGCATAAAATTCAAAAACAACACTATATGGGGTATAATTTACGATACATTGGTATTCCAACCAGCGAGCACATAAATACGGTTGCAAACGGGCAGAGTGTATGGCAAATATTCGTGAGAATCGTGCAAGACGCACATGCACGAGAGAATGCTATTACTGGGTGAAAGTTTGCCGGGGAACATCTACTGGCGGTTGCCTTCGCGTAAAGCCAAGGAAACACATATCTCTCACGTGTACCACCTTATGCAATGCTTTCCACCGTTTATCGCGCCTCGCGATCCACCAAAAATGCAGAAACGCCTCCTTTCTGCCTCTGGTATAATAATAAATTTCGATTTTTCTTTTTCCATCCCTCGTCACGAAATAAGATAAAAGGCGGAAGTAATTAACCCTTTTTGTGCTTGCGTGCACGTAGAGGAAATTTTTTTCAATAAAATTAAAAATTTTAAGAGAAATATGATCCCTTTTTTTATATGCTTCCTATAGCGTAGATAAGCGTCTTCGTGAAAATTTAATTTAGAGAGTTCGATTTTGACAATTAGTAAACTCTAGTATACGGACGAAAAAAAATAAAAATATAAAGTAAAAAAATCGTGAAAGTAAATCAAGTTTCGAATAACTCGTCAATATTAACAAAGTATCAATTTTGCGTACAAGATCGACTAAAAAGGGAGGACGAAACAGGCCCACCCATTCGCCCAAATACATTAATTCACATTTACGAAAACGCGTGGCATCGATTCCATTCTCATGGTGTATGGCATGATGAATGTCGCTCGTTAAGTACAATCTTGTATACAGTGTACGTATATATGTATACGTATATGTATAAATCCTGGAAGATGGCAGTCCTTAATATTCCCATCAGCGTAACGAAGGAGCAATAAACCCGGCCACGGTTTCGCGCGCACCCCTCTTCCTCCTCCTCCTCCTCCCTCTCCCCCACTCTTTTCTCCCTCCTCGGTGTTCCATCAAGGAACTTGGTTGGCTCGCGTGACTGCACGGGGAGGCAGGCGAGTTATGCTTTTAAAATCCTGTTACCAGTTGCGAGCGCGAAATTTAACAAAGAAACTTACAGATTAGTTTCACAGAGATATAATTGGACATGGTGGTTGGAATAATAATAATTTGGGAGGGGAACGTCTGTTCCCGTGGAACGGAAGTTCTGACTGGCTGGCTGGTTGCCTGCTTGCCTGTGCACAACCGAAATGCGAGGATGGAGAGTGGGAGAAAGAGAGAAAAGAAGAGGGAGAGAGGAAGATCAAAAGACGGTGGGGGAGACGAAGAGGGAGCGACGAAGGATGGAATGGAAGAGACGCGAGCGGAAGAAGGTATTCAATTTCATTGCGACGAGAATGAATAAAATGTAATGTATATTTACGTATACGAATTGCCTCTCTGGCCAAGTGGCTGGAGTTGGTTCCACGACAAAATTTTGTGTCCCGGTGAAGGAACGTCAAAGTGATCCCTGTTCCGCTTTATTTTCAGGGAAATGTAGAAGCGAGGAAAAGGATGTAAGGATCTCTTCTTCGAGATTCAATCTCGCCACTCCGCCGCCATTAAGGCTACCTTCTTGGATGTCTTCTTCGTCACTTTGCCACTTTGCCACCATACCTTCCCATTTTAATCCGACACTTGGAAAGCATTAAATTGTAAAAATCCCTGCATCTATTTGATTTTAATTTTTGACCTGTGAATTCTTCCAATCAAGATCTTTATTTCTAAATTTATTTCTTAATTTTTCTGTAATACTCGTGCACTTTGAAAATATAAAAATGTTATATATAAATAGTAAATTCAGATAAATGTGTGCATCCAACTTCTTTTGAGTTAAAATATAAGAGAATATACGTTCATCGTTAAGGAATGCTCTTGCTAGGTTATACCTAATTCAAATCCTCTAATATTCACATAAACGTATTCCTCTGAGCAGAGGAAAAGTATACGAGAATCCTAACTTGGAATTTAAATCCGAATCTCTCGGTGGCCAACAACTATCTTCCACCAATTCCTCGTCACTTTTTATAGAAATATATTTCTGCCAATATTTATCTATTTATCTTTCAAACACTCTGATCGTGTATTCTGATTCTTCGACGATAATATTTTTAATACAATTTCTTCCCCTTTTCCGTTTTTATCTCCCGAATTAATATAAGTAACCCTCTTTGATTCGATGAAAAATGATATTCCTCTCTTTTTGACCGAAGTTTTATCTTCGACCCCGTGACTTTCGCTCGTCTGCCTGGATAAAAATTATCATACAACTCGCCATGTTTGCGAAGGGACCCCGTTCAAAGTGATTCTCTCGGATACATGTGAAGCGAATATAAGCGAATATCTCCTTTCCTCGGCCTCTTTCGTCAAAAATTCTCTCGTAGATTTCATTCGTCTTCATGCATCGCTTAAAACGATGACATTTTTGCCGGAAACGCCGGCGAAATTCTTCTCTTTATATCGTAAACGACCCGTTTACATTTATTCCGCTGTTCAAACGTGCATCCCCTCCCCCTCTCCCCACCATAGCCACGGAAATTCTTCGTTGTTCCCTTCGAAGTTGAAAGGGGGCGTGAAATATTCTAGATCGAAGACGAATGAGAAGAAAAAGTCGCGAAAACTTGAAATGTGTATCTTGGAAAAAGATAGAAGAGATATATTGAACTTTCGTCCTTCGAAAACGAGAAACGAAATGGAAACGAAAATTACGAACGTAAATGTCATTGAATTGCAAACATTTTATTGCCTCGTTTTATTTCGTTCGAACGAGAATAATTTATCCTTGAATCGTTCTCTCCAATTTTTAAATTTCAAATTAATCACAACACGATTGATCGAGCTTGGTTGAGCGAATCAAATTTATTTATTAGCTCGACATGTTTATATAAACACGTCGAATATATCTTATTTCATTTCATTTCAAAATCTATTCCAGCAGAGAGAGAGAGAGAGAGAGAGAAAGAGAAATATATATCTATAAAGAAGTGTGGAAAGAACTGTATTTTTCCACGCTTAAAATTCGTATATTTGTGTACGTTTATTTTGGAAGTTTTTTTCGTAATTAACGCAGTCGCGAGTTTCAAGATGAAATATGTCGCGACAAAATTGCGACGCCCGCGTTGAAACTTCTTTATTCCCGCGACATAACCTGTAATTTTTATCTTCGCGGTGTTGTTATTGTTACTTTCCCTCTGCTTTCAGGCGCGATAACACGCCATCCGAAAAACGAATACTCTCGATGCGACGATTAATTGTAGAATAGATAACAAAAACGGTATCTCGGTTTTGGGCATCGAGTGTAACCACGACGAATAACAAAGCGAAAATAATCATTGGATTAACGACCGCGGAACGGAGGGAGGGGGGAGATTTCATTTCGGATATACATTTCCGCGTCAAATAATTTTCACGCGGATGAGAGAGCGCGTATTATTTTTGAGGTTATGTCGAGCATGAATGTGTAATGACGATTCCGTTTAACGTATTAGCTATCCCCGGAATAAAAGGTATTATTTAATCGTTAAACCAATCTCTCGAATTTTTCGAGGTAATATCAGCGTTTCAAAAGTAAAAAAAATAAAAAGAGATTCCAAAAAATTTTCCAAAAAATTCGATCATATTATTCAATTTCGTTTCTAACGCGAATCTTGATATCGTTATATTTGAGAATTTATTAATGGTTTGATTAATGTGTTTATGTGTCAAATTAAATCGGAAAGAAATTAACGAAAAAAAAAACGTAAAAAAGTTTTTTCCAGTGGCCACAGATTAATGAAATTTTCATGTAAATAGAATGTAATGCGTTAGCGTAATTTATTTTTCCGATGAAAAATCTCATTGAGATTAATCCAATCAAATTTTCGATGTGCAATTCCAACTGGAAATATATTTTATAACGTTAAAACTCGAATAATTCATAATTTTGCTCGTAATGCATTGCACAAAATTATATTAAAAAAAAAAAAAAAAAAAAAAAAAAAAATCATGCTCGATTTCGTTCCTTCGTACAAATCAAATTTTTATTTCAACTTATTAATCGAATCAACGTAAGATGTAACGAGTACAATCGACCGAAAAATATCAACGTTTGGATTCAGCTCGTTTCCATTCTCCTCGTTCCCTCTTCAGAGGGATTAGAGCGTAAGAGCTTATTTCTCGAAGAGTGACACGGACAAATTCGAGTGGAAGGAAGCGTCGTTCTCTCGATCTCGAGGAGGAGTGGAGATGGAAAAAAAGGCGAGGAACGGATTCGGCCAAAAGTATGCCGGGTTTTTCGCGTTCTCCGTGGCGACAAATTTACCTCGTTTCCGGTATATTCGTGGCTCCCACAATCGGCCCGCCTCGAACATCACCGTATTAATTGGACGCCAAAGAAAGCACGCCACGCTCTCTTGTTACGTATCACGATCCTTATTCCACTTGATCCCTCGACACGTCTCGTT